TAGTAGTAGTAGTGGTGGTAGTACTGGTAGTAGTAGGAGAGCAGGGAGGGTAGAAGTAGCAGTATGCGTTGAAGTACAATTAAAGGGAGTAGGGTCATGTGTACACACGCATGTTGACGCTATTTCCTACAAACGCTTGCCGGCGTATGCACGTACGTGCGTACGTACGTATGTATGCATGTATGTATGTATGCATGTATATGCATGCGTGTCGAAGTGTGCGCGCACTCGTTGTCAACGTAGGTATCTGCTCGTTCTCGAGTTGTGGGTACGAAACGGGATCAGGCAGATGATAATTGGTATGGGAACCGGAGCTGTATGTTTCTGATGTCGAGAAGGTGGCACTTACATCGAGGAGTACGAGATCGGTGAGCTGAAACGGCGCATAAAGTGGAGGCAATTCCGAATTTGTTTATTGGGACTCCCTCAGGATTTCACAGCCTGTTCTCAACATGTTGTGTATGTGCAGAGTATTTCGGGGACCTTCGTTCTTGCCAGCATCAAGAATGTCCTGGGTAGCCATGTGTGTCGTGGAGGAAAGACAAGCTCCACGCCAAGTGCTCGCGATGCAGATCACCAGCACTGGCAGCATTTTGTGTGGTTCCGTGGGTAAGCCTGGGACAGCTTGTCTATTCAGAGCTTTCGCGTCGAGAATGTTTGCCGGAGTTTCTCTTCGCCCAACCAGTTGTTGTTGTTGTTGTTGTCTTAAGAAGACCTGAGGTGGAATGCTCTTCGTTCCTTTGGCAAACACTGCTGAAGAAAAGCCCGGCACTCGGTGAATGCATGTAGCTCGGGGTCGTCAGCCACTTAGAGCTCAGCTTCAAAAAGAGGGCCGTCAAGTCCCGGAAGTTTTGAACATCATTTGGAGACATGTTCTACCCGATAACGGTGGGTCAGCAAACTGGTAATGCGGTTACGCATGCAACGGTGTGTCTGGTTGCCTCGTTTCTACAGCTGCGCTCCGCGGCAGAGTTGGCTGCTTGGGGTGTGTCGTCTGGGCTTCTCATCGAATGACTAATGCTCGAGAGCCTTGAATCCCCACAGTAGACCCAAGCTTCAGTCCTGCCGCATGCTGCCGTAACGCTACGGCACACATAATCCTCTCCTGTCCAGCCCGAAAACCGTCAGGTTCTGCCGTTACCACGTTTCAAAGCCCGACTACGACGGTCGCTACCCCTGCTGCGGGGCACTGCATGCGGTGAACCCTCGAGGTGCCAAAGCTGGGGTTGAAAAAAGGGTTGTGGTGTTCAAGACGAATTTGGGGGAATGCTCGTTTGGAGTCTAAGAGTTGGACCTCTTCTGAATTTTTTTGCGCAAAGCTTGCGGTTCGGGTGTGGGGATGCGACACATTTTCAGAGAGGGTTTCGAGGAGTTTAATAGGTCCGGGGATGCGTGGGTTGCAGTTCCTCACCCTGAAAGTCGTCACATACCTGCACCCTGAGCTTTGCACCCCAAACTCTTTTCAAGGCTGTGCAACATCCATGCATGTGGAGCCGCTGCCGGATCCGCCCAAAGGCAGGAGGGGAGGAGGAAGGGTATCTGTTTTCGCTTGTCTTGATGCCTTTAGTCTCCTCGTGCCGGCTTGCATCATCTTGTCGCTCGTGTGTCGAAGCACTTTGGGGTCTTGTCTCGGCTATGGGCTTCATAGGAGCTCGCAATCCTTAGCCGGCATGATTGCAAGCATGCGGCTGATTGCCGAATGGCTATGCGGATTGGAGGACACTTTCCCCAAAGACTGCAAAGCGTTTTGTTGTTTGCTCAGATGCCGTCGACGGCTTGGCAGATGCCACAGCAGCCCTGGGGCTGGGAGCTGGGCTCCTCGACATAAGGTCAGCTTCACGATTCAGCCCAAGTTGTGCGAATTGATGAGGATTCATATGGATTCATGGGGTGTCATGGGCTGGGGAGTGTCTGGATGCGAAGTGCGCTCTTTCTCTTGTTTCTCTGCAGCAGGTCCAGGTGGCACTTCGGCATTGCCGTGACGTTATCATGCAACATACCCTAACGACCTAATGGTCCATTAGTAACATGCGAGTGGTCTTCGGGCATACGCATGTGTGCCTTGTGGCGCTCGCCCAGATGCCTCAGGTAGCAAAGCAGTGGCGCATGGGGAAGTTGCGCAAAATGATGTCTCGAGTCAGCCGTTGTTCTGAGAGCGCGCCAGCAGTGAGCTGACTGATTGTGTTGACACTGTTCCGTGCATACGGAACCCTTTCAGCGCTCCGAGCCGCTGCTGGTCTCCGTCCTCGGCCCATGCATGGATTCGCAGCCATGGGCCCCCAAACAAGCTCATGATACAAGACGGGGATCGTGGAACAAGCGTCACGATAAGGAGAAGGAAAGATGACAAAGGGTCAGCATAGGATCATGAGCGCTCCGACCTTGAGCCCAAGCCGCAGCCGTGTCCACAAAAAAGAAAAGTGGTGTCAACCTTTCCTTGGAGCAGCGCCTCGAGCCTAGATGAGACGTGCTGGAGGTGGGTGGTGCCGTCATTTTCCATTCCATGCTCCGACAGTTGGATGTTGAGTCTGTCTATCGCATCCTTGGGATGTCACTGATCACAGAAGCCGCGGGCATCTGGCTCCACTCTTGGCTTTGCCACAGGTCAGGTCGGAACGGAACCCACGCGAGGCCAGAGCATCAGCAAAAGCAGCAGCAGCGGAGATCCTAAACAGCAAAAACTGGGAGGCTTGAAGCCTAAAGTTAAAGCGATCAAAAAACCAAAGCCGCAAACCCTAAGCCACAAGCCCCAAATTGGTTTATACCGGTCTAGGGTTTAAGGTGCCCTAAACTCTACACCTTCAGCCTGGGCGCGTCCGCCGTCTATTGAGGCCCAGAGGAAAACGGCCCTCAAAGCAAAGACAGACTTCAAGCCCCACGCAATCCCCAGACAGCCTTTGCAAGCAATGAAGCATGGTGCCTCCTTCTACCACGCACTGCCCAGCTCGCCTCTGCAGCAGAGGAAGAAGCCCTTCGAGTTCATAGTGTAGGCAAGGATTTCGGGGCGCGTGAGAGTTCGGGTTCTCGGACTACGAGGCCGCCTTGGGTGTTCATGGCAGGTGTCCTCAAGTCCGTTATGTGTTGTGGCATTCGGGGTAGTCCCAGTTGCAGAAGGGACCGTGGTGGGTCACAGCACCGTTCCGTTCCTGTCGGTTTGGCAGAAGGAACGCCACCAAGCGCAGATCCATGAAGAATCGAGAACTTGCAGGCTTGAGTCTTCCCAATACGGAGGCTTCCCAACTTCAAGAAGATCCAAACTCGGCGACAAAGGTGGAATATGGCACCACCCTACCTGCCGGACTCTCGTTTGCTCCGAAACCCTACTGTAAATTGTAAGCCCTAATAACCCTGCCGAATTGTCACCTGCTCGAAAGAGCCTTCCGCTTACCTTACGGTTTCGGCAGATGGACAAAGGTGCTCAACAAGAAGGCTTTAATATAGGGGCCTTTATAATGACCAAAAAACTATTTTGGGGTTCCTTACCATAGTGTATAATATATGCTCCAAGAGCTTCTTCGAATTCTTAAGGCACCTGCGCTAGCACCTAAAGCCCGACTCCCGAAGCTCCCGCAGAGGAGGAGCTCCGTCCTTCCGCCCTGCGAAGTCCCATGTAGAGCTGAGGAGGGCCAGGGCCTTGGGAGAGATTCTAGGGTTTAGGGTTTAGGGTTTAGGGTTTAGGGTTTAGGGTTTAGGGTAGAAACTCCACAAGCCGTTATTTAAGGAATATACCTTAAATCTTACTAGGGTTCCTATTATAATTTAAGGTATATTCCTTAATTAAGGAGTTTTGGAGTCTCTGGGATCATGGGGTTGGGACTGCGAAGGACCCACAGACGTGGTGAACAACACTGTTACAGTAGCACTTGCCGCAATAAGCATGCATTCGTAGCCTGCCGTCATGGTATTAGGAGCTGCGCTGTTCAAGGTTCCGTGCTGAAAAGAGTTTGGCACCTCGCGGATTAGGAAAAGAAGTTGAGGCACAGTGCCCCGGCACCAGGATTTCAAATTTCAAAGTGTGAAACTGCAGTGCTTGGCAGCTTCAGTTAGCTTTAGGGTTTCGAGTTTGGTGCTTCGGGGGTTGATCCTCCCTGCGTCGGCACTATTTTCGAGAAGCCATCCACCACGCGACGTCAAACACCGAGTTTTGAGGCCGGAGTATATCACGAGCATGGAACATGGAACCCTAAATTTTCATGTTACTACAATAATTCTTTCGGCCCCTGTTACGTATATACACTAGAGATTCCCTGCTACTGCCCTCATCCATGAATCTCAATCTTTGCGACCTCAACTCAAAACCCTTCCCGCAGCGCTCTTCAGCTAGAGAGCTTAGAAGTTAAAAGCCCCAGAGCCCTTCAGCCCGAAGCCTTCACCCCTAAACCCTAAACCAAGAACCCTAAACCTTAAAGCCTTAAAGCCTGGCTTGTCCGAGTTGTGAGAGTGAGAGTGTAAAGCCCGGAAGCCTTTGGGCCCGAGGCCGCCACGAAGCAGAGCTCCGAGGATGTCGAGTCAAAAGTCTCGCAGTGGCTCGGCCAGGGGAAGGCAGGGGGAGCAGGGCGAAGCTTTCGTGGGGCTCGGGGCAGGATTCTGTAGGGTTCAGGGCTCTCTGAGGGTTCTATGAGGGTTCTAGGGCTCAGGGTTTGGGGTTGGGGTTTCAATTCGGGTCACAGAAAGTTTTTTGAGACGAGACTTTCTAAGGCATGGTGGAGTCTGTGGCTTTCAGTTTATGGGTAGGATGTTCCGAGCTACATCGCAAGTCCTTCTGTTGAAGGAGGCGAAACCTTAAACCAAGAGTGGGGGCTTGAGGACAAAGAGCTGCCAGAGGGCTGTGAAGTCCTGAGCATATCTCCTTCCGGAACGCCGTCGACGCGCTTTCTTGGAAGGCTAGTGTTGAGCACAGCCATCTTTCCGTCCTAAACCTAATCAGTACGGATGCAAAAAAAAAACGCCGAACTACAACAGCCTAAACGAAAAACCTCGTCCGAGTGTGAGCGCCGAAGCGATAAACTGTTGCGAACCCTTGCCTGCCCTGCGCGAGCGCGAGAGTCGAAACCCTCATGCCTTCAGGATATACTGCGAAGTTTTGATTGTAGCACGTTGTAGTCTGTTGTCCATATGTGACAACGCCCCCCATGGTGAATCGCCCGGATTGCCCAAGCTGTGAGAGTCGCAACCCTAAACCTTAAACCCTAAACCACCCTAAACCCTAAACCCTAAACCACCCTAAACCCTAAACCCTAGGCAAAAAAACCCTAAACTCTAAACCACCCTAAACCCTAAACCCTAAACCCTAAACCCTCCGCCAACAGGATATAGCCAGAGGGGGCTCGGTCTCGCTGCCCTTGACCGTCAGTGGCTACCGCCAGCTTCTGGCATCTGGCGACGCTGACCTTGGGCGGTCATTTCGGCATACGATAGGTTACGGTAGGAGTTGCTGTAAGGGTTGGCTTGGGTGTAGGGTTAAAGTATTCTAAGAATTACTTTAAGGGTCCCTTTCAGGGTTTCTAGAAGGGGATCTCTGCCATTTTGGGTTTATTACTGAGAGCCGGGAGAGCAGAGCAAGAGAATCATTTAACACAAGGCAGTTTCTTCGCTTTATCTGCAACGGATTGGCTCAGGATGCGAAGTGTCACTTCGTGGACAGACTTGTCGCCGCCATGGGTGGCCATCTTTTGCAACTTGGATTTCGGTTTCCTTTGAGCATCGATCTGGCAGTTCAGTCTCTTTACCGGCCTGCAGCTTCGCCGATTCTTGTATTCCGAAGAAGCATGTGAGCATTGAATCAAGGAAGCGCGACCAGCTGCGACCCTTCTCTGCTTGGTACTTCCGGAATACCCGGAATGAGCACTTGCAGGACATTCTAGCATTGGCATGGGTCAGGTGCTGGTGCAGGGCATAGGAGGTTTCCGGAAGTTTATGCAACGTGGAACTTAGTTGCTGCGAGGGTCCTCGTTCCTCGGTTGCCCTTGCTGCTGCCCGTTATATGAGCATTTTGGATCCACCATCACCGTGGCAGCACTCTCAAACCGGTGGAGCTTTCGCGAGGACGGCTTACCAGCTCTGAAGCAATCGCTGCGTGAGCAGACCTGGATCCTCTGTGAGACGTCTAAGATTTCGGAGTTGTGACAATGACAAGTGGCACGGTGCCTCTAGATTCAGCTGTGTACTCAAGTCAAGCGATGTGTTTGTCAGTAGCAGCGGCAGCGACAGTAGCGGCAGTGGCGGTGCAGGGGCAGTGGCGTGGCAGTGGCAGGTGCAGAGGAAGCCCCAGTCGCAGTCGCAGCAGTAGCAGCAGCAGCGGCGGCAGCAGGAGTAAGTTGAGTCGGTGCAGTGGTATTGATGCTAGTTGTAGTTGTGGGTTAGTCGGCGCAGAGTAGTAGCACTACTGCAGGGGTGGGTGTCATCATGCGGTTGGTGGAACCAGGTAGCAGCAGCAGCAGGACTTAACCAGCAGTGGTCATAGCATATCGTGATGCTCTGTTGAATGTTGGCCGTCGAGCACAAAAAGCAGTCAATGTAAGTCACAGCGTCAGCAAACCCTAAACCCTAAACCCTAAACCCTAAATGCTTGTCGTTCTGGTACTCGGATCCTCGCCTGCTTGCCTAGTTGTGAGTGCTGAAACCCTAAACCCTGAATCCTAAACCCTAAACCCTAAACCCTAAACCCTAAACCCTAAACCGATTCGACAGGCATCTCGGTTTGCCAGCTTGCA